ACGTCAATCATCTGTTACATATTAAATAATTGGTTCCAAATACTGTTATGTACTTTTATTGAATACAATATTATCTCTTCTAATATATTGCTATGGAGGGCAAACCTATGCTGGAGAATGGTGCAGTTTTACTGGTTCCAGGGTTGGGAGATGTCTGAAAGGGGGCCGAAAGGGGCCGATCACGATAACATCACATGGTTGTCCGAAAATTTTGTTTTCTAGACGCCCAAAAATATTACCTCCGAGGTGTTTTGGGTGATTAGTTTTTTTTCTTTTCCGTCTTTCTTTTCTTTTCAATTTTTTTAATTTCCAAAAGCTGGGCCGCCCCCAAAATCCATCCCTGGGTTCGTTCTTTGATTCTTTGTTAAATTGTTTCTGATTAGTTTTAAGATCATGGGTTAGTTTTCTTTGTTTTTCTGTTTTATATTCTTCAAACGCTTTGAGACAATTTGTAATTGGTGCTATACAAGTTGATTTCCATTTCTATTACAGTAGTATTGAGGACCAGAAGCACGCCAATTACAATTTATTATATAAATATTTACGTAAATCTGTATACTCTATTTATTTATTTATTTATTTATTCACCAAAACAACAGTGGACACAAATCCGCCACTTATGGCTAACAAAGGACGAGACGACGGAAACAGAGACACAAACAAAATTAATTTTAACTAATCACGCCTAAAACGCTATGACAGAAAATGTGCAGATTGGAGTTAAATATATCTAAAGATGGATAGTCCTGAACTAACTTGTTATACGAGGAACTTAATCTACTAATAAACCCGTTTTTAAAAATATTTACTCTACTTGAAGGAACGTAAAGAACGTCATTATTTCTTAAAATACGGACAGGAGCACGAAGGGCAAAATTAGATACTAATTCACAATCAAAGATAGAGGTCAAACATTTAAATAGGTCATTAAAATTTCTACGGGACCTTTTGTGATTTAATTGAAAACTTAAAATTAATATTAGTCTGATTGTGACTGATGTAGCGCAAAAACCGGGATCGAAGGCGTTCAATACATAACTATAATTGTTTTCCAGTGGATATATGTAAAATAAACTTATACATCTATCAGAGATAGTTCCTGTCATTCATATACTTTACAGAAAAATATATATACCACTAGTCATATGCAAATTATCATGGTCCATTTAGTTTTACTTTCTTTAGTCATCCTGCTTTAAGTTTCAAAAGCTCTATTATGGATCGATTTGGGAAGTGTATCAGCACACACATCCTTGAATATTGTATACTTCATTGGGTTTTTTCTTCATTTATTTTTAGAAATCCTTGTGATATTATGTGAAGGTAATAGAAACTCAACCTTGGAAAAAAAAAAAAAAATTTTTTAAATAGGCTCCCAGTGGGAGGGTGTGTCTACTGCTTTACATATATTTTTTGCTTTTTATTTTTTGCCTGACATATATTTTTTTTGGGCTGCTTTTTAACTCATAACCCATCCATACTTTCTGTGTTGGCAATTCACTTGGATAAACTGTAGGCCTACAAGTGTTGACTTTTTAGTTTTTTTCTACTGTAGGACAGGTCTTATCTAGCCATAACATCATACTTCGTAGGTTGACTTTTGGAGACTTTGTTTCTATTTTTAGCTTATGACGTATCCCATCATTCCGTCAACCGAAAATAACTCTCCACAACTTACAAGCGAGATGATAGCGAAGTGTCTACAGCCCCTGTGGCAGTAGACACAAGAGATATTTGATTTTCAAATTTTTGTCTGTAAATGTAAACTACCTTTACTATCTTACTAATACGTAAGCAAAAATGTTCATGCATGAAATTCTTTATCCTTCTTATAATGGATAGGGCTTTTATCAGATTTAGTCAAATAGGCCATTAGGTGTATTTTTTAAATAGTTCTAAATAATAGTTTGTACATAAAAGAAGTCATTGTGGCTCCACATTACACATTACAATAGCCTAACAAGCATCAAACCTTTCAAATACTGTATAGAGCATTGCAGCATATCTAAGGGTTTTTGAGACAAATCTTTAAAAAGGTATAACATTCAAAAATATGTTTTAATTTTCTAATCATGCATCTGCTAGTTACAGACAGACAGAAACAGATACAAGTGACAAGGCTAGTTTTTTAGATTATTAAAAATTAACAAAATTAACATTTATAAAAATCATCTGATATGCCAACATACTTTTTGTAGCCTCTATAATATTTATTATAAATATACTCAACCATTTACAATTACAATTATCATCCGTGGTTATTACCCTTAATACATACCACATTGAAATATTTGTGTTGGAAAAAATTATCTCTGATCATGATCGCTTGGAAAAAAAATTGGAAATTTAGTTGTTCCAGCAATGTTTTATATATAAATTTAAAAAAAACACTGTGTTTTTTTATTTTTTATTTGTTGTAACTCAATAGGAAATTCATTTTGTATCAAGTTACCACCACATTACACATCAGGTTTTATAAGTTCATGTTCTGTCTCATTAGCAAGTCTTGATAAAAATATCACAAGGTTCTGAATTTAGAAGTCATGTGGCCTATAATGAGGTGTTGAGTGTTAACAGGCCGTGTACTCCCAGCGCAGGACGTGTCTGTAGTCATCCATTGCTCACATCTTTACTCAGCTTGTACCTATACTATTTTTAATCTACACAATTCCTTATATCCTGATGCCTCGTTATCATTCAACTGCAACCCTCAGCCAGGATTTACCACTTAGATTAATGCTAATTAATCCAATTGAGTTTTTACTCACATTCAGTCTTGTACTGCTTCAGTTCATGGTGTCAACTTTGCAAGTATGCGTGGGGTTTGTGTATGCATGTGTGTTCGAGCATGTGCTTTTATATTGTGTCTGCGGGCGTGTGTGTGTGCGTGCACTTGTGGATGTCTAAATATGTATTTGTTATGTGCGTGTGTATACTCATTTTTTTTTTGTTGGTTCACTTTAAATTGATTCATCTTTTAACATCTGAACTTGATCACCATCCTATAAATTGATTGGATATCTATGACAAAACCTTGCAAGGATATGTGCATACTGTAAATGCATGTGTGCACATGTACATATTATGCAAATGTACTTGTGTATGAATTTACACTTTGTAAATATTTCCAAGTTTGCTATTATTTTATGCAACTCATTTAAACTGATTCTGTCCAAAAGAATGTGTAGGATATACCATGAGTTGCACTTTTAAACTGTGAATATGTGTTGTAAAATAACCAATTTAAATTCAATTTAAACCAATGAATTCATTCAAGTACTGAACAATTTAATGAAATGATATTGCAAACTATTAATGATAGATTTTATCAATGTTTAGGTTACATAGTAGCCACAAATTCGGTGACCATAAATTGGTTTCACATTCCATTTAAGATGTGTGTAGATATTATTATCAGACTATGATGATAGTATAATCCAGGTCTTCCTTCCATCTACCATTTTTTCGGTTAGCTCTCACTTGAAAGGAAGTCATGTGTACCACATTTACAGTATTTCTTGGGACTTGGCCAATCAAATTTATGCACACCTTTTACCATACACTTTTATCTTGATAAAATGATTATGATTCAAGTATGATAACAAATCTCCTGGGTCATATTGATTTTGACTATTAATTAAAATGATGTCATAGTATTAATTTGATTAAAAAATTAATTTAGTGTGAACTATATCTGAAAAAATGTTTTTGTATAATTTCCTGATCATTTTTTTTACCTTGAAATATTTTCTTTTATGATCAGGATCTTACAGTGCAAAAGGAATTGACAGATACAGAGCTACGGCAAGAGATCATGGCCCGAAGAGATGCAGAGTTCCGATTAAAAGTGGCGGAAGATTCTCTTTCACGATTGGACAGCGCTCTTCAGCAGAGTCGGGATTCACGCCCTCCATGCCTTTCACCAAATAAGGTCTCAAAGCAGAATGAATTGGACAGCACCATAAACCAAAGTGTTTCAACTCTGAAAAGTATGTTATTTTAAATAAATAATGCAAATGTACGTTGGATGAAACACTTAATAATAAATATGAGTTAGATTCCATGAACTGTGTATTCACTAAAATGAATAATTTAATTTATATTTATTTCTGCTTGGATAAATTGACAATTGCCAACGTTATAAATGGCAACTCTTGAAAATATGTACATTAAGTAGTTTTCCTATCATGGCATACATAATCAGTGGCGGCTCTAGAATACAAGATTTTTTTAAAGAATTGGGACTCCTAGATGGCGGGAAATGGCTGGGATGGAAAAACCAGGCCTTTTTTTTTTTTTTGGTCCAACTGCCCGACGAGCTTTGGCCAATGGGGGGGGGGCTTGAGCAGACCGATGGGGGGCTTAAGCCCATCACCATCAGGGTGTGGGGTGGAATGATAGTGTTTCTCTAGTTCAAACATATACTTTTTTCCAAAAAAGAATACTCTACCTTCTGATAACTCAAACCATCATCCCAGCCCTGTCTAGGCTATCAAATTTGATTTGACAAAAACTTGTAACATACCTAAATAAATTATGGTCATAACATAGAGAAACATCACATCATAACCATATATAGGCACATCATGACTATGGGCATACAATAGTTTTTTGTCAAAGGAAACTTGATAATCTTGACTGAGCTTTCCATTAATTCCCTTCAAAATCATGTTGAAATTCACCATTTAATGCTTCATCCCTACCCCCTACCCCTCTCTCACCTACCATAGGGGGGCCTGGTCATCTTGGATCCCTGACTCTCATAGATAACTGTAATGCTTTTATATAATATACTAGAATTGAACTGTACATGCATTAACCTTTTGAATGTGTAAAAAGAATATTGAGCCTAGTACTACCTATCAAAAGTAAATGAACCATATGATTTCCCACACATGTCCTTGTACACATATCATTTTGGGGAGAAGTTGTGTCAAAAACAATTCAGGTCTTTATATGAAGACTACTGTGATGATGTAATTAATGTAAAACTTTTTGTGATGTTACTCTATGATACAATTGATAGACTTCGGAAAGCAAAGCTTTTAAATGGTGCATGTAGTCTCAACATCTTGTATCTATCAACAGCGGTGGATTTAGGGAGGACCAAGACGGCCCCGGCCCCGCTTTTGAAAAGTAAAAAATAAAATAAAAAGATATTATTGATCACCCAAAACGCCTCAGAGGATATTTCCTGGCATCTAGAAAACCAAATTTCCCTGGGGCATGCCCCAGGACCCCTCTGGGGTAGTGTAGTCTCTCGATCCACACCTCCCTCTCCCTTTTTGGAGACATCAGCCCCCTCCCTTTGGACATCTCTTGATCCACCCTTGATCAATTGAGACCGCTTAACAAGTTGTGGATAAAACATTGTTTTTTTAAATTTTTTATAATTATCCTTTTTTTTTTTTTGCTTTTTTGCACTCTAATATTTTCGAATTTTTTACTGTTATTTTTTATTTATTAAATTTATTTATATACGTAACCACACAACACATGCACCAAGAATTGTCATTAGCGAATATATCACTGCAATCCCTTTCACAAAACAAACATACACACAGACTCTGCTTTACACTAAATCTCAATATGAGGTTTTGGGAGTGGAGTTGTTTTGGTCGTGAGAAAAAATCCTGCAACACTGACAGGAATTGAACCCAGGACATTGGGATTGGTAGGCAAGCATCTTAACCACCAAGCTATTCAACTCCACTTGTTGTAGTTATTGAGTTGATGAATATATAATTAAGAATAGTATTAGTTAAACTGTTGTATATATATATATATATCATACAATGCAAATACTAAGAAATTATTTCAATCTTTGAAGTGGCCAGTTTAATGTGTTTGATTTTTATTATTCTTTTAGAATTTTTTGAGGAGATAGCTGAGGAAGCTAAGATTGATCAAGATAAGCCGATTATTATGAAAAATGCACTTCATGCCCGGAAGTCATTCATACGCAAAACCAAAAGTTTCAAATATCGCAAGGAACGCAGTATGAGTATGCTGTCCAGTAGGCAAAGTGAGTAAACTTATTTATTTATTTTTGTTTATTTAATTCGCAGCAAACAGAAAGTAACTCGACAGTTAGTGGATTAAAGGATGCTTTTTAAAATAAGTCTATTTATGAGGCAGAGATTAGAGTTTTTGTTGTGAGAAAAAGTCACATCTCTCACAGGATTTGAACCTAGGATCCAGGGATTTGAAGGCAAAGGCAAACCACACTATTCAATTCCACTCCAAACTAAAAAGTTAAATAGTTTGACTATATTAATGAACCTTAATTCTGTCATTACTTAAATATTGCTTTGTTTTAATCTCTTCCTAGTAATTGTATTCTGATCCATCTACATATTCTATTAATATTAATATAATATAAAAATAGGTTTTAATCTCAGAAAGTAGGCTCTCTTCCTTGCAATTTTAATCTGTCTAAATTTCTATTAATATTTATTAAATATAATAATATAACAATAACAGTTATATTAACAAATAGAAATTCTCAAATTCTGTCTCCCAAGCTATTAAAATTATTCTCATAACCTCAAAATCTAACATAAAACTTATGGTCAATAAGCTTTGCTTTTGTATGTCTATATATAGTCATGATGTGCCCATATATGGTCATGATGTGACATATTTAGTCATGTCACATGTTTTTGGCAAATAAAATTTTGAAAGTCTGGTCTTTCATTCCGTATACTGTATTCTGCTCATTTCAACTTGTCAACCAAATATTATAAACTCTGCTATCGTATACTTTCTCTGCCTTTGCTCATGTATTTGTATATTATTACTATAAATGAATAGGCCCTTATCTGATGTCAATGAATATAGTGGTGTTAATAATATTTAAATGAAATTGGTTTTTTCCAACTTGATGTGGTATCACAAGGAGTACTCAGTATATCTCAAAATAAAAAGTGTAAAAAATGATTAATTTTAATCATCTTGCCATACTTTGTTGAGTGAAACTCTATATATATAATAAAGTAAATTCCAAACAGAATAATGAGAAGGAATTGTTTTAATTAGCATTATGTAATTACAACAATTAAACGTATGGTTAAACCCCATGCACTGCATGTGTTTGCCTGAGGTCTGTTGTGCATGTTTCCCTGTTAATTTTGTTTGTTTAGAAACCAAAACAAACATTCTTCCTCTTAGCATTTGAGAAGCTAGCAAATGTATAAACAATGAAACTGCCAGCTTGTATATATATGTAGAAGTATCGCATGTATTTCTAAGAAGCATCGTTCAGATAATTTAAAGCAAAATGCTTTGTAGTACTTGGTTGCTATGTGATGCATTCCAATGCACCCATCATGTCATGTTATCACAACTTTGTGAAAATTAAAAATACTGTGTTTACCTAGCTATGATCAAAATTTTTGCATTAGGCCTACATATATATAAATTTTATATTATAAATGTTTATATATATATATATATTATATAATATATTTTATATAGTTATGCACATTTCAGTTTTCACACAACCTAACTAAATATAAATGTATTTTACATGTATCTTAACTAAATTCTGATGGTCAAAAATAGACTTTGATTGATTTAATTAAAAAATGTAATATATAAATACTGACATTTTAAAGTTCATTGATATTTAGACTATTAAAAAAGAATATATAAATACTGTTTACAGAAATTTTTACAAAAACGTTTTTTAACAGCCTCATTAAATTTCTTCAGGATGTTTTACATATATTTATTTGCAGCTAGTTCACAAAGTTAACCAAAAACATATTAACTAAAAGTTGTGATTGTAATGATAATGTGTGTACTGGAAAAGAGCATTTACTATTAAAACCTTCCCTTGAATTCTCATAACATTTATTCCAAACTTTCCAATATTGTGCTTAAATTAACTTTTGTATTTTGCATGTTTTGTTTGTATCTGCTTTCTTATTAAAGCTAAAGCAGTACCGACGAAGAAGCTAAATTACAGGAAGACCATGGCAACTGAACACGACCTGCAAAAAGAACCAAATTTTGAACAATGGAAAAGCGTCAACTTTGATTTCAAATCACTTAAAGTAGGCCCAGTCAATGGAAATGCTGATGAGGAGGAGGCCAAGGTGAACGATAAAACAATCCCCTCCCCCGACAAAGTCCAGCCAAATATTTCTAAAAACCCGGAGGGTAGTGCTCTATAGGAGGTAAATACCGCAGCGAGGTTTATACATATGCACTACACAAACCACTGAAATTCTCTGCACATGCACCATCGCACAGGTAGTTTTCATCCTTGCTAATATAGTTATACGATGCTGTTGTCATTTGTGAATAACATTCCAGTGCTCTGTGAACCCATTAGCAACTTGTATTGGTAAAGCACTTCACAATTTGCGGAAAATTTTTTTTGTAGTAATCAGAGCTTACATGAATGTAGCCTTTGACCTCTCTTAGGTGATAAACAATGTTTATAACACAATTTTTTTTTTATAACCTTGTACCATAGTAATTTCTGGTCTAAAAATATGAAGAACAAATGAACAAATCAATGAAATTTACATTCTTTTCATAAGCAAACCAATAACAAAAACTGAGAAGGTAATAACAACTAAACAATAAACAATCAAAATATGGATGAACTTATTTTTCATATTTATCACAGTATTTGAAATTTCTAAATTTTGCTATTTTCAACCATGTGAGATAAAAGAACAGAAAAAAAAAATTTCTGTTATTTGAAGAAATCCACCCGCTTATTTGATAACATATCCATCCTATATAAAGACAACATGTTTAATCTCTTGAAATTCACTAATCTGAGATAACATTGTATTTTAGGAATTTTGTTCTCACCTATCAACATAACTATAATTAATCCTGAATTTTAGACTTCTCCAGATAATTTCACCTATCCTGATCACCTCACCAATCCACATTACCTCATCTGTGTGTATCATCTCACCTGTCCTTGCCACCACATCAGTCCTAACCTATCCTCAATTGAACACATCATCACACCTATCCTCATCACCCCTTCGCTCCCATCATGTCAGTTCTCCAAATTTAAATACTTATTAATCACTTCACCTATCATCGTCACCTTCTGTATCCTCTTCACCTCACCTTTCCTCATTTAACACATCACCTATCATCCCACCTATCATCCCACCTCTCCTCATTATCCCACCTTTCTTCATCACCTCACCTCACCTATCCTCATCACCACATCTCTTCATATTTAAACATATCACTTCACCTTTATCACCTCACCTCACCTATCCTCATCACCACATCTCTCCATATTTAAACATATCACTTCACCTTTATCACCTCACCTCACCTATCCTCATCACCACATCTCTCCATATTTAAACATATCACTTCACCTTTATCACCTCACCTCACCTATCCTCATCACCACATCTCTCCATATTTAAACATATCACTTCACCTTTATCACCTTACGTCATCCATCTTCATCACCTCATCTTTCCATATTTAAACATATTACTTCACCTTTATCACCTTACGTCATCCGTCTTCATCACCTCATCTTTCCATATTTAAACATATCACTTCACTGCATCTTCCTCACCTCACCTGTCCTCATCACCTAACCTTTTATCAACTCACCATTTATCACCCCACTTGTCCTGTTTTTAAAATATCACTCCATGTATACCCATCACCTTGCCTATCTCTATTACATTCTTTTTACTAAATTTGAGGGCATTACCTCAACTGCCTCAAGACTTTTTTGTGCCAACATAGCCCCCTTTTTTTGGGGTGGGGAGAACTTGGTCAAAGGAAGAAGTGTATTAAACTACAGGTTAGCCCATGTATCAGCAAAAAATATAGATTAGTGAATACCCACGAAATCATAGATAAACATATTTTTCTAGTTAATAAATCACTAATTATTATAACTAGAAAACCACTTTTTAAATTAATAATTGCTTTAATTTATATTTCAGTGCTATAGTTACTAATAGCAACATTGTTGCATGTGGCATTTGTTTGCATCTTGTAAAACATCTATCAGTTGCTTTGCGCTGTACCTTACATTATGATTTTTGATATTCAGTTATTTTTTTATAATATTGTAGAAATATGCTACTCAGTGATATTTTGTCAAACATGATTTTTGTTGGCATTATTATTGTCATGCTGTTGTTAGTACTGTTATCCTTATTGAAATATTTTATTATTAGTAATAAATTTTAATATCATTTAAACAAATATTTATTATGTTCTTTTTGTTATGTATTTTTATTAGTATTATATATTTTTCATTACACATATAACATACTTATCATTTGAAATTAAATCATGTAAGAATGCAACTTATTGTTTTAATTTACATTATTATCATCTTTATGTTATATTACAATAATTATCATATCATCATCATTTTTTATTATCATTTTCATTTTTCATCATTATTAATATAAAATTCATAATTCTAAGTCATTTATATTGTATAATAATTATCATTTAATTGATATAATATTTTCAAAAATGTATTTTTTCAAGTCACATTACTAAGACCTATGATAATTGAAAGAATTCCCAAAATATTGCTATTAATAAAGTATTAAATATTTCTATCATTCAAATTATTCTTTGCACTTTTACACTGGTACATAAAGATGAGGAGTAGGGGTGGGCTTATAGTCCATTAACTGTGGTAGATATGAATATGTGTACATGGATTATTTATTTTGAACTCATCTAAGCATAGATATATCTTTGCATATTATATTTGTCACATATTCTGTATTCCTCTTTTAGTCTCCATATCAATAAAATACTCGGTAATCTAAGGGATGTAATTTGCTTCCTGTTAATTTTGTTTCCATAGATACAAAACCCTGGTAAAAAAACAAACAGGATAAGATCAAGAGTTGCACCTGTAATAACAAGTTAATAAAATCAACATTCGTCCTTCCTTGTAACATATTTAACAAACAACCAAACGCAATTAAGTAATATTAAGAGTTCTTTGGGTATGGCAATAGATCATTCATTTTTTCTTCTGCTCGTCTTTGGAATGATTTTCCACAAGCAATTAAAGAGATGGTGTCGATTGACATTTTAAAAACAAAATGTGTAAAGCATCAACTATTTACAAATTGCTTTGCTCCTCTTGTTTAAACTCAAACACTGATTGGATCTGATTGACGTCTTTTCCTCAAAATTCCTGGGGCGGATGCAGAGGGGGGGGTGCAGACGGTGGGATCGCACCACATTCCCCCTAAATTGTATTAGGAAAAATAATTGTATTATGTTGTTGATATGAATTACCGGTAGATGTTTAAGGTATGACAGTGCAATTTCCGGGCACCTGAGGTCCATATTCTCAAAATGTCACACTTTAGCCCCAACCATGGTGCGCGTATGGCTGGGATGGGGTGAACTCTCACGCACACTCAACCACCAAATCCTGCATCCACCCCAGAATTCACTCTATTTTTTTTGTTGGTAGGATCGATAGGATAGTCACTCGAGCTCCTGTCAGTTCTGTTTCTGGCAAAATACACAGAATGAATCAGTCCTGAGTATAATACCTAATCCAAGTATCCCGACACGATGGCATGCATTTCGATACTTGGAGTGTGTATTATACTACTGTATCTTATCTGAGATTAATCAGTGGACCTTTCGAAATCTATAAATTATAAAACTATAATTTAAAAATTTATGAAATCTTGGATGATGACTTTAAACCTGACTTGTCTAAGAGTATATATATATATATATATATATACTGTCTCTTATACACATCTAGATGTGTATAAGAGACAGTGGTAGATGTAACACCTTCAGCCTGAGTTCATCCACTGAACGTATTAACAATGGGTGCAAGCAAGCGAATACCCTTCCTCCAGGAACAATGGGCTTTGGTGACTATGTATGGGATGAGGAAGATGGCCTAGGAAAGCCACCTGTCTTTAACAGTAGCATGTTCTTCATGCATAAGACAGTTGCGAAGCCTGACCATAGTAGTGTCCATGAAGCTGATGTAGACTCGGCTAGTAAGGAAGGTGGACAAGAACAAGATACAACGCCAAGTAGCATTAAGGAAGCAGAGGTCAATGAGAAGAACATAATTGAAAAAGAAGTAACAGAGCTATACACATCGATTGATAAGTGGAGAGTAAAGAACGCGGCTGAGAATAAAGAGCAAAAACCTGTTGTAAAAGAGAAACCAGATAAGCCTGCTGCACGACCAACCCCAGCACCCCGTTCGTCCCCACCACAGGCAAGACCGCGTCTTATGCTGAGCCCGCCTCCCAAAGGCAGGAAGATCAACCCTGCGCAGCGTAAAATTCCAACATTGATTACCAACAATTATAGCAGCTCGTCTTCGGAAGATGAAAGCTCAAGTTTGGACAATGAACGTGATAGTTCTGGGTCTGATTCGACTGCAACAGATGGTACATTGTCTGGCAATGAACTTACTTTTCCATCATCTCCGACATTTAGTCCAAAACCATTCTCTCCTACTACTAATACGACCAGATCTGTTAGTCCTCTCAGTCCACTAAAGCGTAATCGCAGGCTCATTGGGGCGGCAGCGGGGTGGAAAAAGCAGGATACATCACAGCCAAGAGTTGGAACCACATCAACTGCTGAATTTATGGAAAAATATGCAAAGATTTTTAAAAATCCAAAGAAAAATGTTGAAGAGCAGGAAAAAAATACAGTATGCTATGATACTGCACTTTAAGTATATCAACAATTTATCTGTTTGTGTTGATATTTTGTGTATGATTTAATGTTCTCTTAATTGAGGTTTGTTAGGACTATAGTCTCTTCAGATTTTATAATGAAATTTGCATTCTTTTATTCTGTAATTATAATGGTCACTTGTGTCATGGGTTTAATGTTTTTAATGCTATAAATGTAAAATTATGCTATGAATGTATTGTTTGTATCATCACATCATACTGTATTGGTAAACAGCATGATCAATTTTAAACTGTCAGCTTATAGTACAGTAATTTTTTCAATAACTCCAAATTTGTAAATAACTTCTTAATATGCAAATTATTAAAAATAAAGTATACTTCATATTAATATATATTTTAATTATAAGCAGAAAAGACATATTGCATTGTGTACAAGATTCTGTACAAAAGATTATATATTTTGCTTGTTGTTCATATATATATCAAATGGGCAGGAACCTATATGAATTGTGAATTTCAGAAGTATGACTTCTAAAGCTGTTATATTCTCAGCTCTTATAATAATGATGTTATAATCACTGTAATTACAATGTTTATTTATTCTACCAATAACATTTCATCATAGGAACTGTGTGCTCTATACGGTAAGTCATCATCATGTCACTCTAAAGCATTGTTTACACCATCAAGTGACAGCATAATGCCCATATATGGAAAACTAGTGCTGTAAAGCATTTCTGGATAGCATTATGAAAAGTCATGACTACCATAGATAGTCGGTATCGTATGTCTCTATTTTACCCATGATGCACTGCACCGTTTGAGATTGGCCAAGCAACAGACCTATATCTTACAGAATCAGCTGTTTTCGGTTTGGCCTACACATAAAGCCTAAAGAAATGGTTCATAATATAATAGTTGTCCATAGGGGTGTTGGATTTGTCAGAGGGGAATAACCTAGTATAGTTAGTGCCAGGGGGAACAAACCAACTCTGACACTACACAGGCTTCTTTTCTCTCTTTTGACATGACTAACTTTATGACTAAGTTTTCAGTTATTATGAATGTTGTTTGCCATACAAGGACATTTTCACGCTAATTTCGTCCCTGGGGCAATATTTACTTTATGAATTCAAATCTTTTATAAACATTTCCGAAGTATTAGTGACTAATGTCACCCAGAGAATTTTGGATCAGGAAAGAAAAATGCTACAATTTGGTTTTGGGTGGGTGTGTCTAACCTTATTAATTTCTGTTAATGATGCATATACTTTGTGTTCACTTTGCAAAAATAAATTTAAAGGCATATGGTTTTCTGTTGATCTAATATGCAAGAAAACTTACATGAATCACTTAATACGGTACTGTAAAAGTACTTATTATTAGATCAAGAATATATTTCTTATTAGAAAACAGGATGAATACTATTCATATATTCTTTGCATAAATCCTTCAATTAGCTGACAATTAATTTAAGGATTTATGTTTTAAATAATTCTGTAAGTTAGCAAAAACATTATTAGTATTAATCCATCTTTCATTGGAAGTTATTAATTTATTTAATATTTTGAAATATGCAATTCACTTTTGAGAATGTTTTATGTTCTCAAAATCTATTAACATTTGCTGATCATATGCATGTTAAACAAAAGTAAACATAGCTCATATACCATATATAAACACAGAAAGAAATGGAAATGTTGTTAAGCTGTATATACATATGTATAAATATTCTAGAAGGCCAGGCCTGGTTCCTGGCTTGGTAATGTTTTGACATTATCGAAGAACGTCTTTCATTTGTATAGAATAAATAATGAATGATTTTTTTTGTATATATATTATACTGAAATGCAATTATACAATTAAAAAAAATGGTACTGGAAGTTTATAAAGGTCTCCTGAGTTTTAAATGTGTACTGCTACGAATCGGTGATTTGCAAATATCTGCACCATGCCTTAACCATTCGTCAATTGACTAGTTGCTCCATGATTATTTCAATCTTCTGACATTTAACATAGATGAACTATATAAGAGAATTATTCCAATTACATTACTAAAAACATTCATCATGTTAATAAATACTCGCCCGCAAGTTGCTATCCCAGTGTTGCCAATGAGGATGGGGCATCGATGGTGCCAATGAAGATGAAGTGCCAGTGAGAATGGACAGCAGTGGTGCCAATCACTTTGACTTTCAGCAAGTACTTCGCAACTCATTCATGCAATGATGATGGCGTATCGGTGGTGCCACCGGCTTTGGTCAGACCAGCTCATATTTTTATCACTTTAAAGAATACATATACTTTTACCTATAAATTATATTAATAATTTTTGCACTTGAATGTCATTCGAATGTTTCGCCATGTACCGGTACGTGTTTTGTAGTGCACTAATTAGCTATGCATTTCAAGCTCCTGTTAGGAATTAATTTAAAACTTTTTAAAATCTTCGATTTTTGCAAAATGTGGTCACCTTTACTCCAACCATGACTATACATGGTAAAAACTACCCCTGCCAAACACAGTCCCAGTATTTGTGAGTGAATTTGCTATTGTTTTCCTCTGTTTATAATATAATGTATGTCTACTCAAATCAGTAAGAAGAAAATGCCATATAAGGGCACTTCCTCAAAACAGGTGTTTATATTTGGAGTCGGGAAAACATCAGTGTCGGCGCCACTTGTATTCCCATCGAAGATTTTCGTAGCGAACACTATTTTTGGAGACACAATGTGAAATTTCCTGGCATGAATTGTCGAGAAATTTGGATCTTTATAATTATCTAGAATTTAATCTATGGCGCCTTAACTGCATTACGTCCGATTAGTGCTGTGAGAGGGCCTGGTGGTGAGGTTTCGTCGGATCTACACCATATTGTCGAAATTCCATTTTGCCGAAACCCAGTTTGCCGAAAGTCAATCAAAAGCAGTGAAACATTAAAAACAGCATAACATTCGTGATGGAACACTGCGTCTTTACGAACTGGTGGAGCAAGCGGAAAGTAAGGGCATAGACATGGATATCTATTTATTAATCCATAATTGGAAATTGTTCTTTTCCACTCTCAAAGACATGATTTATCGGGAAAAAAGAAACTATCTATTACAAGTTTATTGTTAAAGAGGCAAATTCCAGAATTGCGAAATTGAGATTCCAATGCGAAGTGCGATGCGATCTCTGTTTATTCGTATGATAAATAACTGCTTATTGTAGTTTAATGATAGTTTTGTCTTATTCTGTAAAATAAAACTTGATTAACAATTTAGCTTTCAGCAAGAAAAATAATTAAATAGGCCTGTCAGATAAAATGTCTTATAAGCATACCTAAATGAAATAAATAATAATAATCTACAATTATACACCCGAATCAAGGGGCTGACTAGAGCCTCTGTCAGCGTCCCGGCATCTAAAAAAAAATTCCTTGTGTTCGTGTTGGGAGTTTTTTGAGGTTTTTTATACTACAATATTAGAAATTTACAATCAAAATAACGTTATATGGATAGGCAAATTATCATTTTTGGTCCTGGACGATTTCGTCGAATAAACGCCCTTAAGCATTTATTGTCAAGAAGGGTTTTTGAGGGTAAGTTAATTCGAGGGAAGTGTTTATTCGAGGCAGGCATTTATTTTTTTGTGTAAAATGGATATGTACTGTTAGCCTATATACTCAATCGCCCCATAATTCCAATGTAATTAAAATGTAATTCTACTGGAGTAGGCCCTAAAGCATTAGTAGAAAGTGTTGGGAATGATGTTTCCATTAGATCTGTTTACGGTAAAGTGGGAGTTTATTCCAGGAAAAAATAATTATACGCCACGGGGTGTTTTCGAAAGAGGCGTTTATTCCAAATGAGGCTCTAGAAGGGGCGTTTATTCAAAGCGGAGCGTTTACACGGATACAAATAGGGGAATGTAAATATGGCTCCTTCCTGATCCACCCATCATGTTTTCAAAAAGCACAGTATGCTGTACTTTTGTACGATGGTGACGGCAAATGATTCGGCAAACTGGGTTGTCCTGATTTCGGTGAACTGGATTCGGCATACTGGGTTTCGGCAAGAGGCAGTCCTTGGCAGCAATTTTCCTTCAGATACCTGGTTGGTTGTGCACCTGTCTCATAATATCCAAATTACGGTAGAGGCAAGCGTGTATGTGAACTACCGGAACTGTGTTGTAGACACGTCGTCGCAAAATCATCTTCTGGAATATTGATTTTTGAAATTGTGTTTCTTCTAAGTAAGAAAATATACATATAGGTAAGTAGAGAATGTACCATACTGTAGTTTTACAAGCCTCTGTATGCCTTCATGGTGTCCATTGTTGTGTTGTTGTTCAGGCCTGCGTTTAGACTGGAGACTGTGCTCTGAAATTGTTTTGAGTCATTTTCATACAATGGCATTAAACCGGAATATCTGAGTGAAAATGTAAACAACAGTAAAAACAGAGCTAAAGATTTGTTGTTGTGTAATGACATAGTAGTAGGCACATGTTTTTCAACCTTTTCAACCATCTTTAAAAGTAGGCTAAGTGAAATGATTTTAATTAATTTATTAAATTTTATTATTTATATAGTGACTTAAAAACGATCCTTGGGTCGTAAAATGCGTTTTACGGCCATTTAAATACAGATAACAATCGCTATATAAATTCATAATTTTATTGTCATGAATGTTCTCAAAATCATTGTATATACATTCTGTAATTTTTCTATCTAAATCATTTTAATTAATTTAATGAAGTGTAATATTACTGTCTCTTATACACATCTAGATGTGTATAAGAGACAGCTTGTATTCCCATCGATGTCTCTTATACACATCTAGATGTGTATAAGAGACAGTTATTGTTATTCATTGTTAATGTTTTTAGTAAATAAAAAAGTTTGTGTGCATATGAGGTAGCTGCCATTGATTACACTTTATATTTTTTGTTGTGTTACAGTATGGCGACACTCCATTTCACGAATTGTTGCAAAGTGACCATGAATACCAAGTTCACCAGGACGGAACACAAACCTTGTTACATGCTGGAGCTGTGGAGCTGACCCGAGTCTCTATTGAACCAGGTAAATAATTTGCCTATGTAGCCTTTCTTATTTTATCGTGTATATATATATATATAAATAATAATAATAATAATAATAATAATAATAATAATAATAATAATAATAATAATAATAATAATAATAATAATAATAATAATAATCACCTCAGATAGGAACATAAGATGTCATGATCATACCAAATGGGGAGGGTTCACCTAAAACTCCAAATGCCGTGAAGGGGAAAAGCAGGTTGGACCCCAGCTTTGTTATTATAGGACGATACAGGGGTCCGATAGAGTATTGGTTAAAATGTTAAGATTTAATATTCGCTTTTTAAGTTTTATTACATAAAAATTAAAAAATATGTATTCAGTACATTTTCGACTGTCTTAAAATTTCGACCTTTTTGACGCTTTATTAACACGTACACTTTACATAATGTATTAAATCAATCAAACAATCAATTTTGTTTTCTGAATTTGTATTCCTATACCTCATGAAAGTATGAATGTAATAAATTTTCCAAAAAGTGTTTTTAATCTAATGAAATTTATACTTTATCAGGCATAACACAGGTTCCAAAATGAATAATAGTTTGAATGTATTTCTCACTAGTTCAATCTCTTTTATTTCAGTGTCTGAAGTCAAATCTACCGATCCATCAATAAGTGCGAAGTCGATGTACAATTATTGTCAGCGGAACATGATGTGTATTAAATTGCCGGAACACAAGATGCTATCAATAGCCGGATTTATGCGGTCTTAATTCTACAAATAATCGCACGCGGATATTTATTAGGATTTATATCACTGGATCGCCGGAATTAATTAAATTTGCCAACTGTGTTTCTTATACAACAAACGAGTAATTCTCGAACGATATTACATACTTAAATATAATTAAGCCCAAGCATTATATACGGTATTATATTATATTATATTATATTAAACTAGAATCTTTATATTCTATTTATATTACGTTTATATAGTTCTGATGTAACATTTCCGAGTATGTAAGAAATAAAGTAAACTGTAGTGTAATTTATAATACATCATTGTGTGTACTTCCTTTTTCGTAATTGCATTAATAATAATATTATATATTTCATAATTATTAATCAGTATATAATCGATTAAATATATTATAATCACTTCGATTCGAATATAACACTATTACAGGCTACTATATGTTATAAACACTCTTTCCAAATATATTCCTGACACAAACAAATTACGAAACTTTTCAGAGCAAGCTGCTGTCGAATTTTTAAAAACAGGAAATGACGTCGGTTGCTAGGCTACAGCTCATGCATAATCATGAATATTCAGTAACACCTGTGCTCATTAGACTAACAATAAAAACTTTTAGCTCAGTTTTGACAAAATCGACCAAAAAGATTTTATTGTTAGTCTAATTAGAACAGGTGTTACTGAATATTCATGATTATGCATGAGCTTGTTGCTTAGCAACTACGTCATTTCCGGTTTTTATGTTTTTGTTGAGGGCGTCCTCGAAAGGATTGCTAGTTTAATAAATAAAGTAGCACATATTGATGAAACAATTCTTCACTTTTGGTTTAAGCTTATAAGCTTATTATAATAAGGATATTTGTTAGCTATTTAATTTATTACAGTGAATATAGACAATAAAAAAGATGAAAAGAAATGCACAATTCCATTTGATATTTATTTTCAAGCATTGAAGTCAAGTTGTGATATATAATATATATATACATTTTATATTTATATATTGTAGGCCTATATCATGTACATCCGGCAAAAAACAATAAATCTGATTTTAATTCTCAAAATGTTATATCTTATTATCTTACATGTCTATATTTTTTTTACAGCAAACGGATTACTTTCTCTATTAATAAGTTAAACATTAATAAGTAGGCCTAATAATACAATATTAATAAACATAAAGCCTACAAGAATTACTACATATTATTTTTGAGATTATTGCAGAGGAAAACATTTAAAAAATAAAATTTACACTATATTTTAATTTCATATACAGAATTTTTGCAGGAAGCTTGATGAGTGACACAATTTTTAGCTATCTATAGGCCTAATTGGTAAGTTCTGTTGCCCTTTTTCACGATTGAATCCGGACATAGTTGTGGCTTCTTTATCTACATCACTGGAATAAAAAAAAAATTGAGAAAAGATTAGGAAACAGATAAAGAATTATAACAGAGTATCATCAAAACATAATATATAAATAAAAACAGAGGCAGAGCCAGTAGTTTTGAAATAGAGGGGGCCCACAGGGAGGGACTTTGCCAGATGAAGGGTTCCAACCACCTCAGCCTCATCATGGTTGGGGCTGAGGTAAGAAACTTTTCGATTATGGCACCTCTAGATGGCCAGGAATGGTACTCTCAGATTTTAAATTTGAATGAAATTTTCTTTTTTCCCCCATTTTTTTTACCATTTTAAAAGATTTAGGGGGGTGGGAGGGGGCAGGCCGGCCGCCACCCCTCTCCCCACCGGGATAGCACCCCAACCTGAACATTATCGTATTCACTTATCGCAAGGGACAATTCTTATCATATCAGCATTATCATATTAAATATTAATTATTTATAGTATCATCACACCACAGAATGATGTGAGGATTATAACACATGGCATTGGGTAGGGCTAGTAGATCGCAATAGCGCAATCAAATTATGTTAGCATTCCGACTGTCATGGGTAAATAAAATTTATAAAAAGTGTACTATTGGATAGAAATTAATATATAGATTCATAAATACAGTATATTTAAACAATAAACATAATACTATAACTATAATCTTCAAACATTTTCATGATATCATATTTTTTGTTTGTTTGATTGAATTTATTAGATGCATAAGCAAGATATAAAATGGATTGAGATCAAGAAAAGTAAAAATTACCGTAATGAGCATCAGGAACGCCCATTAGGCCGGAGTCCAGCCCATTTCCAATGAGGTTCAATTTAAATATACACTGTCTGTCTTGAGCTGACAGATAAAAATTTAATTCCATAACTGAATAATTATATTTAAGTAAGTTACAAACTTAAAATTAAATATATGAATGATAAAATTATTTTCCTGTCAATTAACAGACAGTTAAATTATACTAGTGCTATATTCTTATTTATACCATTATACATAAACTCAATGTTCTTAAAATCAGGAAAAATGGGGGAAAAAATGTCAATAGGGGGTCCAAAAATTCTGATCGGGGTCTAAGACAAGGGGATGCCTAGAGCCTTGTTCAGGGTCCCGGAATAAAATCCCTGGGGTGAGGTTCATGTGGAGAAAATCTACGGTACAGGATCGCACATGTGATTTTGACCACAATTGTATCGGCTATCAAAATATATGTGTTTGGATCGGCAAATTAATGTTGTGGAGTCGGATGAGGGAGTTGATGATAGTTTATGGTAACTCGGACTACATGATCAAGACTAGTTGCGTTTAAAGTTAAAAATAATGTTTAGTTTACAGCAACATATGCTTCTGGGGCCCAGACCCAGGATTTATCAATCTCAGCTTAGCTCAAGTAAAAAAAATAAGATGTCCCTAAAGCAAATATCTTAAGTTGATTTATCAACTTCTCTTAGCGTAATTGTCTTAGGTGGCGCATGCGAAAAGTCGACTTTTTAATTTTAAGCATGAGCTAAGCAATATTGATAAATTTGACTTAAGCAAAACAAATTTTCAGCCGATTTCTAGTTTGACAAATCCGGCCCCAACGTACCAACTTATGCGGAGTATATAATCTTCCAGACAAGCCAGTTTTTGTTTGCTTTAATATGCGCTTTAAAAATGTGTATTATTATTATTATAAGGACAGGCTGAGGTTATTTAATTATTTATTCCTATGTCTTGCTCTAGGCACTCTCCAAGTAATTTCATCTATTGCATATTATTCATCTATATGTCGAACTGGAAATAAATAAACAAACAAACAAATAAATAAAAATAAACAACCAACCAAACAAACACACAAACAAACAGACAGACAGACAGCCAGACAGACCAACAAACAAATACTAAATAAATACATAAATATTCGTGCACACATGGCCACATAGAGAGAGTGTGAGAAAGAGAGAGAGGGAGGGAGAGAGAGAGAGAGAGAGACGCTCAGCCATGTACGGCTCATGTCTGGTTTTTAAAATGTATCTGATGTATTTCAGATGTATTGTAAATGTAAAGTATTTCATATTTCGACTTTCTTTTGGAGGGGCGCCGAGGGGGTTTCCTCTTAAACGGATACCGGTACTTTATAAATTGTCATTATTAGTATTATCATTCTTATGCTTATTAATAATAATAATAATAATTATTATTATTATCTTTAGTATTAGTATTATGCCTATTATTATTATTATTATTATTATTATTATTATTATTATTATTATTATTATTATTATTATTATTATTACAGTCCTATATAAAATGCTCCCTGTTCTGTATATTCGAGGGGAAAAAATGAAAATTTTATTAATATTTAAGTCGTTTCCTGCCATCAAGAGCATGGACCACTGAGGTAACATAATCATAAATCCACATGTGAAAGTCTATTTCAAATTTCTGGATCAGTGACTACAGTAGTAGCTTTATTTGATATCGAAATCATGTACACATACATGAAGATATTAATAAATATTAATATTGATAAAGATGGTGTCATTTGGGCCTACGCTGATCACTTTCGCTGTCCTTTAAAAATTATATAGAAAATATTTTTGTCGGGCTATAACAAATTTCGATTATTCAGGATTAAAAGATAATTATAGGCTCTTGGTAATAAATTGCATACATTATTGTCAATGAAAAAAAAAACAAACAGATACGAATGTAAACAACGAACGGAAGTTAACAAGCCCCAAGCTGTAATTACTGTACGCCTAAATAACGTTTTTTAGCCAGTTTTAGGTCTTCGGCGGTTTTAGCGAGTCACTTGGAATGTATTATATGTTGTTGAATAGAATGCAGCATGTCAGTGCATACTTCTATCGAGGAAATTGTCAATGCCTTCAATGCGGGCAGCGGCTGCCTATCAAACGTAGTCAAAATAATAACCATAGAATGATGACAGGATACCCTATTTAACTTATGAATTAACGATGCAAAATGTTCAATACTGTACTTACATTTGTTATTACTGTAATTGTAAAGTCTCCTTCGTAGTCCATTGAGTAATGTTTATATGTAAAACGGCACCTGCAGTGTATAAAAAACAATTGATCATTCTTTTTCTAATGCGCCATTCCCTTATGACGATGATGAGGGTGATGATGATGATGATAATAATAATAATAATAATAATGGCAGTGGTTATGTTGATATTGATGATGATGATATTGATGATGATGATGGCGATGATGATGATGATGATGTCGATAATTATTATGATGTTGATGATCGTGGGATAAAAATCGACTTTAAAAAAAACCCGACTCCGATAGAATCAGTATAGGCTGTTATGCGTCACAAGCCGGCCCTAATTACTTGCAATCTAAATTTATCACCCTTCTAAAGTGAGGGACATTCATTTTTGTAAAGTATGCATGTGCTAATTTCCGGCAACCATGGTGTTGTTGTGTCCGCCCCTTGAAGGGGCCCGGGTAGTGGCTGTACTGGTTACCAGTGTATGGGCGCAGATAATAGGAAGAAGGGGGACCCCTTATTTTTTAAGGGGGTTTTGGTCCCACTCACTTTTCGACCACAATGTAATTTCATAAGTAAAGAAGATGCCTGAAAGATCCAGGTTTTAACGAAAAGAGCGTTGTACAGCCAAAGTAGAGTACTGTACAAGATTCCTGTGTCTCTGCCCACTAACATCTGAATTATCTGTAATACACGACTCGAGTGTGCGTGCCTTTATTTTAATTTAGGAAGTATGAGAAAAAGTATAATTTTGGTTTTCGGCACACGAAGTAGGTAAATTAAAGTAAATACATCAAAGACAATTAAGTTTTATTTTCTATGGTACAATACAGAAATTAATTAGATCTTTGCCGAAAATTGCAGATAAAAGATCATGGTGATGTGATGATGATGAATTTTACTATAGACCTATAAGAGTGATATTCCGGCCATCTTGAGATATTATTCCTAAACCATGATGGGGGTGAGGTGGGTGTGGACTTTGAAGTAAAGTAAAATACATTAAAAACAATGTTTTTAAGTTTTATTTTCTATGGTACATCACGCATATTAATTAGATATCTATGGTTGCGGAAAATCGATGATAAAAGATCAGGAGAAATTTATTGGCGCTTCATTTTTACTATAATGGTGATGTGATGATAACGAATTTTACTATATAAAAGTATCATTTCCAGCCATCTAGAGGTACTATTTATTTCCCACAATTTTCACACCTCAGCCCCAAACATGGTAGGGCTGAGATAAGTGTGGACTCACATTTTTTCTTTGAAGTGATAAAGTAAAGTAAATACATCAAAGACGGTGTTTTTAAGTCTTATTTTGTATGGTATCATCACACATACTAATGATCTCTATGGTTGACGAAAATCGATGATAAAAGTTTGAGAAATTTGTTGGTGCTTCCTTTTGACTATAATGGTGATGTGATGACGAATTTTACTATAGAGTATCATTATCTGGCATCTAGAGGTACTATTTCCTCAAATTTTCGCACCTCAGCTCAACCATGGTGGGCTGAGATGGGTACAACTCTCCTCTATCCTGCTCTTATAATGGCCGGACCACTTGCAAAATACTTCCAACAGCTATGAAGACGGTCTCCCAAACTCCTGCAAGCAAGCAAGAATCTCCCGGGAAAAAAATCCATCTCCGCAAATTCATATTTGCATGTTTTCACTGAACTTTATTATAAATTTTCTAAGGAAGTCAGTGCCGGTGGGTATCACTATATGTGTAGCAAAATATAATTAAATGTGTTAGGAAATCTTTAACCAGATCAGTAGTACAGTACAGGGAGGAAGAAAGCCGGCCGGGTCTCCTAAATATTTAAAAATTATGAAAAAAATGGGGTAGAAATGAAAATGATATTCAAATTCATGTCTGAGAGGGCCATTTCCAGCCATCTAAACGTGCCACAATCATACATATTTTCCTCAGCTCCAACCATAGTGGGCTGATGTGGTTGACACCCTCCATTTGCGAAAGTCCCTCCCTGCTCCCACTCTTCGACCCACCACCGCATTTCTCCCGGAAATGACTTCTTCCAACTTCGAAACCCCTGTAATAGATGCTATTTTTGTAGGCAGATTTTTTTCAGATTCAGCCAACGGTTTCTTAAACATAGAGAGTTGTAGCAGCTAGGTTTGCCAAATGATATTGTTCCAGTGAAAATGTGTCTGTCATGCTAAGATGCAAGAAGGCTGTTATCACATCATCCTTTGATTTTGTTTAGTTCCAAAAATTAGACAGAAATATTGAGATGGTGTTCAGCAGAAAACTTTAATTATAAAAACTAAAATGAAATGTGCCTGTTATTACTGTAGGTGAATCCATAATCTAAATTCATTATTATTTAGACCTATGTTCAATATCAAGAAATTTTATGTCACCTTTTTTGTTGTAACCCCCAAAATCCAGATTCACAAGTACTGGGATGGTTTCTGGTGTGAGATAGTCTCATTCTTCAAAACTTCTACATGAAAAGTGTTTATCATAGATAAATCTGTTACTGTATTTATTTGAATAAACATCCCCTCTAGAGCCTCACTTGAAATAAACGCCTTAATTTTTTCCTCAAATAATCAACTCCCCACCCAACCAAATGACTGTAAACAAAGCAACATCATTGTCAACAAATTCTATTGATTTTCTACTCCAGTAGAATTACATTTTTTTCCTAACTGTTTTCATAATTCAAGTGTACATAATTATTTGCATTAATAAATTAAATTAAATATATTGAATAAATGAAATTTAAATTGTGGGACACAGGTAAAGCTGCATCGTGTCCGACACCATAAGTAGTACCAAAAATGTATCCACCCTTTAAAATTTTGTGCACCCCCCTTTACATGTTATGGACAACATTTTCTGAAATTCTGCCACTCTTGTTCGGTATAAAATTCTGATTTATATGTATTCTTTGCTTAAAGTTACCAAATTTTCTTGCGCTACCCTTTGTGTAGCACAACAAAAATAGAATTTGAAATTATCAAAAACATAACGGGCCCAATTCAAACAATATTTTGGCCACAACGGATTTAGGGAAGACAATGATAGTTTGATGTGAAGTTTATTGATAAAAATCATTTATTTTGAGAGTACTGTAGTTGTGATACAATGAAAACATTAAGTGTCCCCTTAATAGGGGTTGAATATGTATTGACTTTACCATTTGGCACACCTAGAAAGTGTCCCCGTCGGTTTAATAGGGGTGTCCCCTTAACAGGGGTGGAAGTAGAGTTTAAAGATATAATTCCCCTCGTTTCACTAAAAATGTTCTCCTTAGTGGTGTCCCATGAATAGGGGTGTCCCAAAGTAGGGGGTTTCACTGTATTACATTGGCCATACAGTATATTTTATATCTTGGACGACACTTCTATGATAATCGAGATCTTGGGTCGTGGGAAGCTAGGGCACAAAATTATGGTTCATTAGAAGTAAAAGGTTGCCGACCATAGTCTTACACCATATTTAAATGTTACGGTAAAACCTCGAATTGAAGCGCTTGGTTTCTTCTTTTCTTTTTTTTTTTAGCAAACTTTGGATGAGCTGTTTTGCAAGATGGGCTTCTTGAAACTACTTTTGCAAAGTAAAGAGTGGGACTTCTTTTCACAATTACTACTATAAAACAATAAATAGGGCCACTGTAACATCAAACTGTATCATGGCGTGTATGAGTATGAAGAGGGGATGCCAAATTTTCTTGAAGGTGGCACAGAGCATCCACACACCCACGGGCCTCGTGCCCCTGGTCATATAGCACTCGCTATCAATGGTGTATTGTTGGTTTCAGAGTACTGTACGTTCTGAAGCAGAACACTATTAGATGAGCCGAGATCTACAGTACGTCCTTCATCCTCCCGCTATGATGATCGGTAGTAAGAGGGGGCTAGTCGTAGCAACTAGGGCTTCAACGCAGAATCCAAGCAGAACTAACATCAGCGCAACGGGAAACCCACTTTTTAATATCACTGAAATGATTGAGGAAGAAACAAAGGGAATATATTAGGCATTGTCAGGTTAATGACTAGGAATTTGATTTAAAGAACTTGATTTAAAGAATTTTGCTAATCGCCGAGGAAATTAACAGTCAATAGGTCAGACAAATACTCAGTAATACAATAATTAATAATCAATTATGTTTGTTTTTTCTTTTTCAATGCAAAAAAATTTAACTTCACAGTATAATATTGTATACTCCAGCAAAAAGAATATATACAAAATCCATAATGGAGTTAAATATAGCAGGAAGTAGGATTAGAGCTTACCCACATAACCTTTAATTTAAAAAAAACAAGCCTATATATAAACTGATATGAAGTAATCACTTCCTTCTATCCTTTTTAACATTATTATTTAATACTTACATCTGTTATTTTTTTTTCTATATTGACGATGATGAGTTGAGGCTTGTCATCCCAAAAAATCAGTGACCAAAAAATGAAAATTGACTTTTTAATATATTCTTATTCTCCACATTTTAAGCTTCAAAATGGTGGATCATTTAATACTAGAATCGACTTACTTTTGCCAAAGTTAGTAAAAGTATTATGGCTTCCAGTAAAGTATACAATATTGCCACATTCTTAAGCTATAATTACTCAGTTTAACCTTTGGCTACAGTACGCTGGTGTTGGAAGATATATTGACTGATTTTGACCAATTTAATTTCTATTCTCTAAATCTATGTATTAACCATTCAAGAAATGAACTTAACAGGAATTTCAACAGAATCTGTATCTAAAATCTGCTGTAGTATGTCAATTTGTTGCAAGTACAATGCAGGCACTCTCGTTCTGGCCATCAATATTTTCGAGAACAATAGCATTACATACAACAGCTTCAAGCAAAAAAGCAGCCCACAACTTAATTTTAAAATATTTTCAATTGAATATGGACTCTGTCACTCGTCAAATCAATTTAAGTGCATTAAGTTTTAGTAGGTGGAATTTAACAGAAATAGTGAAGTCAATTTAAGCTTATTTGTCATAATGATATCTCTCAGTGGTGAGACTTGTAAACAACAGTATGAAATAGTCCAGGATTCCAAAATTTGTTGAAAATCAAGTATATCTGTCACTGAACGGGAAATGTTTCATCAGCGGGAGCTGTATACTAACCTCGTACCGACTGAGTGCAAGACATCAGCATAAATAGCCGGGTCATCCAGAGACAGGCTAGGCTATCCACTTGACCCCATATGACAGCCGGAATAACAAGAAGTTTACCAAAACAAGAGAGTAGTAACGCTTTGTGAAGACAGATATAACTGCAAGTGGATAAAAATACATGTAAATAATACAGGATGAGTGGACATATAAGAAATGTTCAATGCACTTTCCCTCCCCCTACCTCACTCCCTCCTGCTGGTCAGATACAGAATCAGCCAAGCATATAAACACTTGGCTCGTGTGCATTTGTAAAGAATGTACTGCATCGTTCGGAAGAGTAGGGGGTTACCCCGATGCTATGGTCCATTTCCGCCCTTCGAAGAAGAATGATGGGAACATAAAGAATACTGTAGTATAAGCGCCTGTTGATAGAGGCTTGGTAGTCAGAGACTACACCCATATGCAATTCAGCAAAATGATACTGCAAGCTATGCGTTATTCTCGAACCTTTATGCCATAAACTAGTATTAGAGGCTCTTGTAGTGGGAAAATATACATAAAAAATAGTTTATTGTTTACTCTTTTTTCTGCATCTTCTCATTCCTCATCCATAACCGACAGCTGACAGATCCCATCAAACTAAATAAGAACATCATTAACTCTGAAAATACATAGAGAGAAAATGTACAGTATTTCAAGGAAACCCAAAAATTAAGAAGACAATTAATAATACAGAAGTAAAAATATGCAAACATTCTGGAGATGTGTAATTTTGCGATTGCTGTTTTTTTTTTGTGGAGACAACTGTGACAATATCCGGAAGACTTCTGCAAAGATTCCGATGAAGAACAAAGTGAGCGATCAAGTAAAATGTACGTGGATATGTAGAGAAAAAAAACATTTATGGTATCCATTGAAGGAAGAAGGAGGTAAATGCAGTGATACCTGCCCCACCTTGAGTATAAGCCCACAACTACTTTACGCCCAATTTTATTTACCAGCATTTCCTTGGGCAAGAGCCCAGGGTAGGATTTGAATGAGTAACTGAGCTGATTTTCAAAAATACACTACAAAATATATCCAATAATTAGGCATGCAGTGCTGGAAAATTGCATTAAATTTTTGATTAAAAAGGAAATGCTCTGGATATACAGGGTAAGCCCACATCCCAAAATCAGCCCAAATTTTTGTTCAAAGGGAGTGGTCATAGGAAAAAAAAAAAGATACCATATGGTGTCTATAGATAATTTTCAGAAGGAAAGCCATCGTGTTACAGTACATTTTTGAGCAGCTGTGTATCTTTGTTTGGCCAGTAGCGTTAAAAACGTTCAACCTTATATCCAATTGTTCACCGTTATGTCCATTAAAAAGAAGTTAGAATTCGGGGGAAACAAACAGGAAAGAAATAATTATCTTTATTAACCTGAAAGTCAAGTTTTAAACTTTCTGTCAGCACACCAAAATGTGAACACGAACTCCAGCACTTTTCGACTCATTTGGCCTAATTGAACATCTCAAGGACATGGTGCATTACTGTAGGATACAAGCCAAAATACTACTTTATGCCTAGCTTATAACCAAGTACTGTAGAGTTTGGTAGATTTTCATATGAAATGAAAAGGAAAACCTGGATGGATTCACTTATCCATGAACATTCCCCAGAAATGTTTCCGAAATTTCAGCCAGGTGGACCAATTATGGGATCTCTGAAACTAAATGGCAAATTTGAAAATAAATTTTTGTTTCATATATTATTATGTAAGTAGCAACATACCTTTCCAAAATTGTAATCAATATACTTAAGAAAATGCTCTCAATTCATTGGTCTCTCCTCTATTTTGTAATTAATTACTTTTTGTTAAAATTACCTTTCATTCATCACTATTTTTTTTTGTTGAGACTATTTGGGCATGCTCAGCTGATATATAGACTCAATAGATTTTAATTGTTTCAAAACTTCAAAAATAGTGAAATAGCAGCACAGTATTCGGAGAATTTTCTTATGAAAATTATTTTAAAATTATGGGGTAAAGACCATAATCAGAAACATCTATTTCCCTATGACAAAACAAATCTGTGTACTGAGATCAGTGGGAGATTCAAGGGGTGGGGGCAGTCGACCTGGGGCCCCCTAAAAAAGTGATAAGAGGCTTAAGCAAAAAAGGTACAAGAAATTTTTAAAAAAAACTATGGCATTGAATAATAGAAAATAAATTTGATCGTTTTTTTAAGTGTTCAATGTTCTGGACAAACACACCCCAGCTTGCAATTAACTTTTGGCCTCGCAGTAGCGCCACAACGCTTCTACAAATTAGGATTAACAAGAAATATGTGCTACAACCTCAAAACTTCACTATATAGCCCCGCATCAATGCATGCCAAGCTTGTAAGCACAAGGCTGAAACAAGGTTGTACAGCACACCCCTGATTACATCAATTACTTTTAAAAAATCCTTCACGTCATGATTACAATACCGATGATTCACATTAACTGTCTCCCAGCTGTTCTGTTGCTGCTTATGTGGCATTCCCGCCAATAACGTTTCCCAGAATTAAATCGACAGAATTCAATGTTGTACCGCTTCTGTGTCATGCTGAGTGAGGAATACCATATGTTGTGCAAGGACAGTGCAAGTGTCTAACATGCATCAAGGGCATGAGTAAGGAATGGCGCCCTCGTACAGAATTCTTTCTTCAGTCATCTCAACTCCTTTCTGCCTCAAGATTAATCATCCATATCAGCACCTTTGCACCAATAGATATTTGCGGGCACATTCTGAATGGGTGAATGGGTATCTGGTAGTAATTTTTAAAATATGTCTACAAAAAAAAATATTGACAACACAATACATGTTGTGTATGAATGGTGCTCCCGGTACCCATCAGCCTGGAAACCAGGCCGCAATGGCCCCATCTTTCTTACAAGCACTAGGCCTAATTGCTCTGTTATGTCTACCTGTACTGTATGTTTGTTTAAGGTTTACTGTTGTTTCTTTTGGATGCAACATATGTGGTTAATACAAGCAAAGCCAGTCACTCCTTGCAAACTGTGTTTCAGATATAATGGGCAAAACAAATTGGAGTGTCATTTTCGAAATCTGTTTTATTGCATGTTATTTTTTTTTCCCCACATTTTTTAAGTTAAAGCAGCATTCTTTAACAACTTGATGATAGACCTGAGAAATGGCCAAAATCAAAAACTTTGAAGGCTGATTTCTAGTACTGTTTTTTAAAAAGCTCTATTTTTAAATGACTGTAACATCATAACAAAATGTCGCATTTAAATGATTCTTTTACCATTTTATAACTTTAATTTTATTGCTTCTCCCTGTATTAATAACTGAAAATCTATTTTTGCAAGTAGCGACTGGTTTGGCTTGTCTTTGCTACATAGTGGAAGAAGTTCCCACCAAGGCCTTAATTTTCATGGGAAAAAAACCCAAAATATTTAGTTCTATAGGAGCAAAACACTCTCATTATCATTTTATCAATTGGTCTGTTATAGGGAGCCGAGGAGGTTGCAATGTGAGCATGATGATCCACACACTAATATACTGGTATTCATATTTGACTATGGAAAAAAGGTACCAAAATTGATAAAATTAGCAGTTTACCTATAGCTGCCATGAGAAACATGGCGTAAAAATCCCAGCGTAGTGCGAAGTGAAGGAACCTCTTCGGACTGTGCTGTACTTCGGTCTGTGAATGAGCCCACTTCATATAAGCATCACACAACAGGTACATAATGCAAAGCTTCCAGTGAAACTGTGAAAAAAAAATTAGTATAGTAGACCATATGGTTTACCTAATACAGGGGTAGATCCTGGGTTTTCTGTTGCAGGTTGTGGTTACCAAACATTTCTGAGGGTTTGAATCAACACCTACCTAAGACCCACCTTGGGATTATGGCTCCCTTAACTTTACACAGCAATTATTTAAGAGTCATATCAAAAATACATGTTGATAAAGTTTTAGGTAGAATGATAGGGGTGGGGATGCTAATCCCTACTTAGCCAACTCTAAATCCACCCCTGTAATAGGAAACTGTTCCCCCTTTACTTGACCACACTTCTGCATGCAGACTGTATTTCATTATATTAAGTTAAAATTGATGAATTAAAGAAATTTGCATGAATTCGTTCATTATAGTTCAATTTTCAGTAAGCTTGTTCAACATAATCGATAGATAGTTTGCCAAACAACCCCCCGGATCTGATTCAGAAATTTTGTGTTGTTTTGCAGGCAAACTGCCAAAAATACAGAATGAGCTGAAACTAAAGGGAAGTGTTAAATTATACATTGGAATTATCATTCACTATAAAAGAAAATATCAAAGTAGTAGACAATAACTTCACATGTTAATGTGATAGCGTACGCTCACATTTTCATGCTTCATCGTACCAACTGCAGTATAAATAACAATTTTGGTTTTTTTCATTTTATAGCAAATAGCTTTGCCAAATATATCCAGAGGAGGAGAAAATAAAAATTAATTTATTTGATCATGGTGAATGTAAACAGTGTAGTATTGGGATGAAAATGCTTTAAATTTATTTAAATTAGAAAGAAATATACATATTTTATTTTTGGAGATTTTAAGGCAGCAGCAGGCATAATCAAAATAAAGAAAAACTTTTATTTTTTTCTGAAATTTTCATTTTTTTTGTGGCAGCGTGTGCGCTAATTGACCAAAAATAAAACTGTTTTTATTTGAAATCACCATTATTGGCAGGTGGTGGGTTCGCTAAACAAGGTGTAAAAAAAGTCTCATCCAACTAATGATATAAATATACAGTATATATTCATGTAATTAATAATGTAATTAACTTCTGTTTCTGTTCATGTAATCAATGATGTATGTCGCCAGCCAAGACATCATCATCATCAGTTGACTAACCTTTACTCTGGCATTGTAAATTACGTGGCGATATGCTGCCTCCTTGAACAACAGGGCATCAAGCAAGATAATAACAGGGTCAAACTCGACATACTTATCAACAACTTTCGAGCAATATTCCTATAAACAAAGGAAATTACAGTATATTAAATATACAACGTTCTTAATCTGTCATTAAAATCATGATTGAAAATTTTATTTAAGAGTTTGGTCGAGGATGTCGAGTCATATCGGAAGAAGTAATAAACCAAGATAAAGGAAATTCTCAGGTTATTTAATTAGGCTCCAGCAGGAAATTAATTCACCTTATTAGAACTATTTAGTGTAATTAACCGATTAATTGATTGATGCCTACTTTAGACCCCCATAGATAGTGATTCAAATAGAAATAAATTCTTTATAAATATCAAGGTATAAAGTAAATCCTGGGAATTATGTAAGTAAATCCAGGGAGTTGTTAAAGTCACTAGAACAACTTCTTGGTAAATCCAGTCCATATACAAAAATATCCAATTTGAATTTCAGGGCTAGGTAGTTAGTAGGTCCTCCTAGGCTAGGCCCTCCTACAGCTTCCTTTTTTGACTTTGTAGCCTAACATAGTGTACCTAGGCCTAGATAGGGCCTAAACACAATCCCCAGATAGTGTATTTCAATGAATAAAATAATCAAGTCCATTTGAAATGCGCGGCCTATTGCATTTTTCCCATATCGACCATTATTTAGGCTAGGCCTAGGCTACAATTAAGGAAGTAGGAACTGGGATTCCCAGTCAAGCTTCACCGCAGTTTAGTTCATGCAGCAACTTGCTTCAAATTGCGCCCCTGGTTGGCCTGGCCTACCCTACGTCTAGGCCTACGGCGGTTCTCATTGACTGGTGACTTTACATTGTTTTACTTACACAGTGGCTAAGTTTGATTACATCTTTCAGGATTTCCCGATATAGTTCACCGTTGGTCTTTCCGCAATTAATACACACAAATACATGATTTTCTTTATTGCTTTTGCTCTGTTTTGTTTTTAACCCTCTCATTGCTCCGTGTAAATAAAACAAAGGGGCTAACTACACGTGTGCGTGTATATTGCGTTTAACGGTCCAGTTTTTATCTTTCAATCAACAGTAGACTTGTACGAAGACCCAGAGAGGGGACATGATAAAAATTAAAAGAAAAAATATTAGTAGGGCCATGTATTATTATCACGTACGTACACAATATTACCACGTACGTAGGCTTGCAGTATTATATCACGTGCGCACGTATTAAGCTACCAGGGGCGGATGATCCAGAATTTGCAGGATGGGTCCAGAAAAAAGGGTCACTGTTTCAAACATCTTGCGTAGTATCGAGTTGACTGTTTTCTTTGATATTTTCCGCACCCTCATATCTGTCTTGTCATTCTCCTATCTTTGAGAGACTTTTGTATGCAACATAAAATTCAAAAATATTACACTTATTTATAATTATAATTATTTTATTATTTATTTATTTACTTTATTGTTTATCCTGGGGGACTGCTCAGGGATAAAATCCCTGGTCCTCCACAGATCCAAGGAAAGAAAATAACAAACGGTGAAACATTTCATAAAAAAAAACATAAAAAAAACATTGAAACACAAAAAGCTGATTATATAATTTATTCTCAAAAAACAAAACGTGTAAGGCATCTTACACTTATAATTATTTGTATCATCCTTACCAATGCAGTTGTTGAATAGGGCCTAATGAGTCGTAGGTTCATTAGACAACGCCTTCTTCGTTGTATGAAACCGATCCTGGTGTGCTGTTACAAGTTGTCAAAAATTACGCATTTCATTGGAAAAAACTGCGTTTTTGAGTTTAACCTAAAGATGAAGAGACAATCAAAGCTGAGAACATTCTAAGCCGACGCCAAGAAGGTACTAAAATAATGATTGATGTCTGTATCTGCGTGATTCAGGGGCGCATTCAAAGGAGGTTCAGGTAACCACGATATCCTTCAAATTAATCGCAATTCTAAAATACCCAATTATAGTATAAATGATTGGTAATGTGAAAAAATACTATATAGGCCTATTAAATGTAAGCCACCCTCATTTTAATTTGATTTACAGAGTAATTGAGTAACACTTGTGTTATATCCGATGGGAACGCCATGTCAAAAAACTCGAATGTTGTCAGCTGAATGTGTTGTGTGACAGCAATAATTAAAGTTGAAATAAACTTTAATATCATTAAGTTATAATCATAGTAACTCACTGGATACCTGTATCAAGGCAGCAAATGAAAACACTGTAATTTATTACAGTGTTACTCTGTATTATCAAGGATGAGTGTAAATTAATTGTTTTGTATTGTATACAATTTAACCTCCCTGTGCGATCACCTCCCGTAAACGTACACTCTCGATCCAGTTTGTTCTCCCTATCTAATCAGTGCATTTAAATCTCGTCTACCACCACCTCCCGTAAACGACCGCGACCACTTTCAGTGACATGGATTTTTCAGTCAGGATGTCAAAAAGTCCAAAAGGCGGAAACCTTTTTGAAAGTGGGGTGGGACATTTCATAAATCCAGTATGCGAGAAACGAGCATCTAGGCTGGTTCTCAGTGACCGCCAAGGCCCCCGGTGGGGACGAAGGCAGCCCCGTATCCAGGGGGGTTTTATGGTTCGGGAGAACCCCCCTTTTCTAGCAAACCCCCTTTTTTCTGGAGAAACTCCCTCTTTAAATTTCCCAAATAAGTCCTCCAACCCAACTAATGCACTGCAGACCCACCCAGAGACAGGCATTTTCAAACTTATCTGCTTTTATAGCATTATTTAGACCCATAAAGCACAAAAATCCTCTTGCTTTGGGGGTTTCGCCAACCCCACCGGGGCATTGACTGTGGACCTTACTCCCAGAAACCACCCCCCACCCCCCATCTTGGAAGAACCTGGCTACGGGCCTGAAAGGCCTCTGAAGTCTACGAATATTTGGCGAAGTTTGGTGAATTGTATTATTTTACAGGCATCACTGTAATATGACTATGATCAGAGTTGTATTTTCCGAATAAAAAGCCGCAATTACTTTAACAATCACAATGAATTACTCACCATGTGAGGGGTATTCTTGATATGGTATTCCCAGGAAGCTGAATTAGAGGGGGCCCAGGGATTATGATTATGGAACATCTAAAAAGCTGGAAATGGCACTCCTAGATTTAAATTTTAATGAGATTTTCTGTTTTCTCCATCTTTTTTAAAAAGTTTTAAAAATTTAGGAGGACGGGCACCCGTGCTTTACTTATTTACTTTAAATATTAATAAGTCAATTTTTAATCATATTCTTAATTGATCTTAGTGCAATTAATTATGAATAAATAAATAAATAAATTATATATTCTAATTCTAATAACGTTCAAAATAACATTTGCAATAACAATCATTTGATAAGTTAATTCATTTTGAAACTTGTTACGTTTGCTCATGACTTAATTGCAATAACAATTAAATATTAATAATTCAATTTTTAATCATATTCTTAATTGATCTTAGTGCAATTAATTATGAACAAATAAATAAATAAATAAACTCTAACAACGTTCATGTATCCCCGACGGGGGTCCTTCCCTAGACCACTTGCTAGTGTTGTCCCTGCCTAAACATCTTCAATTAATTTGAAAAAAAAAATTGCCAAAAATACTGAATATAATTTGACAAAGTAAAATTGGGGATTCAGAGAACTCATCAATATTCATGGCTTAAAAAATGTTAATAAAGAATGATTGAATGAATGAATGCTTGTGTAGATAAGCAAAATTAAGCCCTTGAATTAATTACCTATAGGCCAGAAGTGGGCACAAAAATAGGTCAGTGGACTGAAGTTAAATTTTGATGAAATGCTGGGAGACATTTATGGTAACAAAAATTTAATTTCCAGTGTGCTTGTAAAAACCTAGACTGGGTTCCAGTCCCTAATCTTTGTCTTAATTAGTTAAAATGCTTAAGAATAAATCGATTTTGGCACCAATGGCGTTCCATATTACCTATTTGCATGGCGTTCCATAGTATACTTTTTCTGAAAGTTTCTCAACATAAACTGACGCTGGTGGCGCTTTCCGAAATGTGCTAATACTAGGAAAAATTAATAAACTAGAGACTTGTGGCAAGTCTAGTAAAAACCTTCCATTCACTGCTTTCAAACTACCTTTATACTCGTTTCTAATATTTCTACAAATGAGTGGGTTTTTATTAGATAGTAGGCAGGAAGCACACATGGTTAAATTTATTTTGCTGGGCCGCAAAAAAATTACTGTCGAGCAGCATGTATCTCACACACGTTATCCACCACTGAATTATGCTACGGTAAAATTACCAAGATGAAATCAAATACATACATATAATACAAATATAATCCAAGATTAGCTAAATACATTTTTTTAATAGTTTTCAAATGTGAACCTTCAAAAGTTATTTCATATATATCATAATATACCATGTCATATTATTATCAATGTCACATTGCACCCCGGCTGCCGGAGGTCCCCAGCACAAACCTTCTGGTTATTCAACCAGGAATGATTAATTTATTATACATTTACTTTAAATCTCAATTATTTACGTTTTTTGAATAAACATAAAGAAATCTCTTCTTTACGTAGAAGATTGTCTGCTGTGCATAATAAACTAAAATTAATAATATAATATATTATTATTAATATTAACAATAATTTTAGGCTTCAAATCTGTTGTCTTAAAAGCTGGGCATCAAAGATAACAAATAGCAGAAGATAGAGCAGCTTCACATTGGAACATTCAGTCGAAATGCATTGTGGGAGAACGGAGAGCAATTCTACCCCGTCCGCGCGGTGGCGCTATATATCAATAATAAAGGCGCCGTTCAGGTCTGTTTGTTTCCTGTAGTTTCTCCACTTTGTCAAATGGTCAAACTTTACCCCGCTTGCGGGAAGGCGGATGTTCCATCAATTTTAATGCAAATACCCGGAAGAACTCATTCTTCTGCTAGTTAAGTTCTTTGTAAGCATGCACTGCGTTGTATGGGGGTTGTACAACCAAATCCATCTGTGCCCTATGTGAGCGATTGATGATGTGACACCTTCTGCTGATTACTGCTTAGTGATCATCAACTAAGTAATAATTTACATTAAAACCTTAAATTACATTAAACAATGCTTCACTCTCGTCAAACTTCCAGTTATAATCCCTGGTGGATGTTTTGGAAGCAACAGCTACAAGGTACAAACTAAGGTATTAAAAACGATTTGTTGCACGTTCCTACAGTAGTTGCGATGTTTTTTTCATGGAATCGTTTCAGACAATGACTGTTGACACTGTGTGTGACTGGGAGTACAACAGAACTGCATTGGCAGGCACTGTATATCATATCAGTCTTTAATATCAACTGTCTAGGTGCTGATAGCTTCATTAATACACTCTTTTTGAATTTGGCATTATAATGATTCCTTCATAAATAATCAAATAGTCTCATATGGTTTGCTAATTGAGTCATGTTGATAGCATCGACGAAAGCTCGCAGTAAGTTTACATAAAATTGTGCTTGGTTTATTATCGATTAAACAGTTCTAAATGACTGTTATTAATCCTGTTGTAACACAATAGAAAGTAAGTAAGGGTTTTATGCAGTTATTCCACGTGTAACATTCTTTCTGTTATTTCTCCATCTTGTTGGGTTGTGTTAACTTCATGATAGTTGTCAGCTGATCTTGAAGATGAGGATGAAGCTCCTGAATCTGTAGAATAAATAAGTAAATATTAAAGTAACTGTTCCATAATTTAAACACTTACATTTGTAGGCCTACTAAAACACAGATGAGCTATTTTTCGGAGAGGAACTCTGCATATTGTGATGTATGAACCATTGTATAGTGCATTCCCTGAAAGGTGTATTGTTTTGGTTCTATCTTTTTTATAACTGTGGCAAGCTCCACGTTTTCTTTATATGAGACTTGTCTGAGAGTGCCACTTTTGGCCATATAACGGTGACATAGCAAATAAAATGCTGTACCTCAGCCTTAAACCTGGTGGAACTGCGATGGTAACACTCCACTTGTAAAGTCCCTCCTTTGACCCTGCTATTTCAAACTCCTGGATCCGCCACTGATATTTATGTAAGAAATGAAAGTTAATTAACCAAATACCTGTACCTTTAGCAAGTTTGAAACTGCTATATGAAGTTCGGCCAAATCAATTCTTGCGCCATCACTCAAGAAACTGGTAGCAGTCACCAGGAGGTGTACATAGAGCAACTTGCGTAGAATCAAAAAGTAAGGCTTACGGAAACCAGACACACCAAAAAAA